TAGATAGATAGATAGATAGATAGATAGATAGATAGATAGATAGATAGTTAGATAAGGCAAGAATTCTGTGTGTTTGCGCATGTACTGTTCAAGCTAAATATAATTCTAGAAACCTTGCTCTGAAGAGTAATCAACATGTCTCACATATACTGGAAGAAGCAACATATGATCTTTTTTCCTTTATTGTTATTATTACTGTCCTGGCCTCAAACTCATAGAAATCCATTTGGCTCTATCTCTCAAGTGCTGGGATTAACAGAGTAAGCCACCACCCCTAGACTTACAAATGACTTTTAAAATGAAAGAACCAACTTAAAATATATATCACATGTGATATAATATATATTATCTATCTATCTATCTATCTATATATATGTATATAAAATTTCTGACATCAATACATAAAAAATATCAGTATTATAAGCTGACATTTGAAGAAATTTTAGTATTATAGTTTTTTATCTTTAATGAATGTAAAAATTTATCAAAAGATTATATTTTTCTTTCTGAATATTATATTGTCTAACATTTCTGTAATCTCCTTATAACTTCTTAAAGTATTCAGTACAAAATTTCATTTAATCCTGCCAACAAAACTATTAGTAAGACAGAGATGATGATTAATTTCAAGTCAAAGTGTCTCAAATATGATCAAGTATTAGTCTAGAAGTTTCTGTGAAGGTGATTTTAGAAAAATAGTAATATTTAAATTGACAGGCTCTAAGCAAAGCAAATTATGTTGAATAATATGAGAGAGAAAAGTTAGTAGAACAAAGAGTGATCTCCACAAAAATGAGAAGTAGTACACTTCTTTTGTACTCAAGTAGGTACTTCCCTTGGTCTCTAGCCTATCAGTCACCCCTGTAGATAAAGGGTTCTATAATGGGCATATGCCAATTCTCTAATACCTCTCTGTCTCTCTTCCATCCTCTCTCACTCCCTCCTTGTCTTCCTCTGGCATACACGCTCTCCCTCTCCCTCCAACACTCCATCCCCTACATTATATGAACATGCATACACAAAGACATCACACACTTTAGTCTTCCTATATCTGCCATTTCACCTTCCATAATTTCAGTCACATGAAAATGTTTTTCCAGATGTCAATGACTCATAAGTTTTAAATTGTTCAGCCAATAAGCAGAATGAGGAAACCTCATGCCAGCCTAAGATATGAATTATCATTCATATCTTACCCCATCTCAGATATGAATTATCCCATCTAAGATATGAATTATCTTTCTGTCCAGTGTTTTCACATTATATATGATATCTATTGTCAATTTATCAGCTGCCTTCATTATTGTGCTGTCTGGTATTAAGAAACCTTTGATGCACTAAAAAATGGTATGTAAATGCAAGAATTGTGATACTGGCAATTCAGACATACCAAAATAAAGGGAAAAAAATTAAGTGAAGAGGTTAAAGATCATGATTTAATAAAAGGAAAAAAAAAACTTGATTGCTGAAGTTGCTAAGGTCTATCGTAAGAATTATTACGTATAAACACTACATATATGTATATATAATAAATCTTCACTATCCATGTTTTCAAGCATTCCTGGAGTCTTGAAACAATCCTCTGCAAAAACATGGCATTATTACACACACAGAAAGACAGCCTTTCAGACACACACACACACACACACACACACACACACACACACACACACACAGCAAGGGAGAGAGAGAGAATTCACTAGGCATCTCATTTATCGTCCAAGGTTCACATGTTGGAAGCTTGTTCTCTCTTGTAGTAATATTGACAGGTCTTTACTCTTTCAACTACTGTCCTAGTAGGAGTGTTAGGGTTATTAAGGGGACTTCTCTCAGAAGGAAATGATGTACTTCTTACATGAGAGTTGCTATAAATGAGTAAAACTGACCTCTCCTCATGGTGTAGCTTCTGATTTCACCATGCAGTTTCTCTCTCACCTCCATGTGATCTCCATAATGCTATGCAACACCATAGGATACAGACAATTAAGTCTCCACTATAGCAACTGCCAATGTATTCTGATTCAGCCTCCAAAATTGAGCTACGAAAATATCTTTCCTTTACAAACCACCAAGCTTTGGGTATTTTATTATAGAATTAGGAACACACAGACACATATACATATACAAAATTAGTTTTGAATCTCTGGAGATTTCTGAATAACACAGGTACTGGAAATTTAGAGCTAAGAAAATAGGAACAGGAATTTAGATAATAATCTTGTCTCTAATCACTCCTAACAAGATTATAAAATTCTCAAGAAACTATTCTGGAATTGATTTTTCATATTCAACCTCTCTGCTCATGTAAACTATGCTGACAGTTGTGATTTGGTAGAACTAATCAACTCAGGTAAATGATTTCTTAGATTATAAACTGTCAATCATTAGAGCATTCTATCTATGGAAATATATAGAATGAGAACTGAAATCATACAGCCACATAAAACCTGGTACACAAATGTTCATAAAACTCCCATATACAATGACCACAAAATAGTTAATAACATAAACAGATCCAAAGACAAATACCTAAACAAAACACAGTATACCCAATGCCATGGAAAAACTTGGCAGTAAAAAGAGAACAGGGTAGGGCTGTGGTTGTAGCTCAGTGAGAGCGCAGTGCCTAATGTATGCAACACTCTGGATTTGATGCCCCAAACCACATGCATGCATGCATGCATGAATGCATACATATATACATAATATGGATAAAAATAAAAAAGCACAGGCTTCATGGGTAAATCTTTAAAACACATTAAGTAAAAGAATGTAAACACAAAACACACGTTAGGCAAATCCAAAGTAACATAAAATACCTTAGTGGTTTTCAAGGTCTTGAAAAAGTAAACAAGAGACTAATTGCCAATGGACATGAGGCTTATCCAGCTCCTAAAAAGTTCCTAAACAAAATGACAACGGTGACTACACAACCACATCAATACACTAAAGAATATTCAATTGTATATTTTTAAAAGGTGAATTTTTAGAAAATCAACTCACCTGCCCTTTTTGTGGGGTCAAGCAATGAACAACTTCATCCACCATTACTGGGATATGTAATTTAGCCATGACTCCAGAATCTTCCTCTTTGGAACTATGCGCCTTCTGGGTACCACACAGGACTGTCTCCTCCAGGGTTTCATATTCAGTATGCATTGCTGTTGTAGTGTGCATTGTTTGGGGACAGACACCCAAACTAAAAGCACCAGACTCCACAAAGCATGAAAACAATCCTATGTGCACTCTACAAAAATATGGATATCGAAGCATTCTGTAGGTCAAGAAATCTACAAGAGAAGATTAAAATACGATGAATTTTAGTTTCTAATTCTTTTAATGGTACAACACCTGGGATAAATATAATGAACATGAAATGTTTAATACACAAAGAAAAAATTAAGACTCATCATCATCTATGCAAGTGAAGATGACTGACTTCCTTACATGAAAGAAGAAACCCAAATGAACACACATACGTAAATGTAATTTCTCTGTGGGCATGGTGACTATAGCCAAATTCCAGAACTCAGAAAGCTAAGGCAGAAGGAATGACTGGGGAGGCCAACCTGAACTAGAAAAATGAATTAACTAACTAATTAAATAAATACAACTTTTTGGTGGCTTTATGAACTCTAAAACCATCAATTTTCAACCCTCATCAATGTGAAAATTAGCAACTCATTTTCTACAATATATTTTCAACTTAATTAGTTCTAAAGAGTAGAAACTTTAAAATATGTACTTAAAAAGTAAACTGGGTCTATGGTTATCATAGCCAGGGTTCATCCAGTCTTCTCTAAATGGTAAGCTAGACCACCCAAGGAAATGTAAACATTTAACTGTAGGTCCAGCTCATCCTTTATTTCATATTGTTTTATTTACTGTTCTCACAGTGCTAAATTAATATATTCAACTTAGCTTTGAAAAAATTGACCATGGAAATGAGTAAACACAGGAACCAGACAAGAAAACATAATCACTTTGTGAAAATCTTACAGATTTCCAAAATAGTCTCTGACAAGACTCCCTGGATCCCTGAAGTACACACCAAATTAAACTACCACTTAACAAACACTGGTCATGTTTTGGTACTCATTTTCCCCCCTTGCAGCCCTGAAGATCAAACCCAGCTTACTTGTACTACAAAAACAATCAAACCATAAGATACATATTTTCCCCCTATTTAATTGAGAAAAGTCTTGCTATGGAACCTAAGATAATCTCAAATTTGATTTCTACTTCAGCCTCCCAAATGCTGTAATTTAAGCCATACATCATAACACCTTGCTATATTTGGCCATTTCATAGTTGCCATTTTGGTTTGTTTGGTGTGTGTGTTTGGGTGTCTGTCTGTCTGTTTGTGTGTATGTATGAGTGTGTGTGGTGGGGGGTGCTTGCTGCTTTGTGTTAGACATTGTACCATAGGCCCATGTACACTAAGTTCACTCTCTACCTCTAAACTACAACCCAGAACCCCATTTTCTGAATGTGTGGCCTCCTGTGCCCTAAAACCAAGCACAAATAATACAGTCTTTTAATTTCTCAAACTTTCTTATTTTCTCCAATTTGAAATACTTCTAAATGCAGAGAGGAGGAAGAGATACTTACAGAAGCATGGTAACAGAAAAATTTTTGAAAGCATTTGTGTTTTTCCCAACTAGCTTCAGACAATGTTTATAATACTTCCATGGTAAATACCCAGTTGTCACTACAATTCCTTCCTCGTGGATTAAGAGTTATTTAAGAATAAGTCCTATGATTCCATATTCACAAAGTCAAATAACACTAAGTCCTTAACAAGTGTTTCAGTGGAGAGGAGAGGGAAAACACACAGATGAATGAATATATTTCAGACTTCACAAAATAAAGATTTTTAGCAATCCAGTCTGACTGCCCCCACTAAATCCACATTTTCAAAATACTTGAAGAAACAATTCCCATATAAATGTCTACCTTTTCTTTTGCAATAGAAACTTACTCATATGTATTGACTAAAACAGAATGGAATACAAAAGTATGTAAATATGTTATATAGGCAGAACATGAAGATTATGTTACCTTAAGGATAATACATCAAATTTGCTTTAGAAATAATCTGGTGGATTATGTGACGAGAAATAGTGAAAATGAAAATACAGAGTGGCAAAGGAACTAGAAATAAAACTCCAAAGAAAATTTCTAGATAAGCATCATCAAATTAAACAAATGTTAATTATTCTTTATGTTCTCCAGATAACTTACAAAAATTAAGCATAACTACCCTTTAACTTAAGGTATCTAAAATTTTTCAAAATAATAGTTAATTTTTATGCAGCTCTAAGTGCCAAAAATTCTAAGCAAAATCTTCCAGCCTCATTCAATCTTTTTCATAATTCTTGGAGCTAAGTATATTATTCCTATATCACACATCGAAGAAACTAAAAAGCTTGCCACATAGCCAGAGCCATAACTGTAACTATAATACAAGAGACCTATCTTTGGAGCCTGAAATTTTTATCTTCAGTGTTATAAACATAACCCAATGGAAATATTTACTGTTACCATACAATGTAATGGTACACTACATTGACTATGTAAATTAATGGAAACAGCCTCGTATACCTTTGCTTTGCTCCACTTAAAAGGAACAGTGTTGTGAGATCACCAATAAAAGGCACACAATGCACAAGGGAAAAGGATGGAATCTGGAATGTGTAAACAACCTACCCTCTATGTCCAGACAATTTTAATAACTTCATTTTATATTTGTGGGTACACATGAATGCAGGTACCCAGAGAAGCCAAAGGCGCTGTATTCCCAGAGCTGGCAGTGTTGAGCAGAATGTGGGTGCTGAAAACTGAACTCACGTCCTCAACAGTACACCTACTTAAACACTTCAGCCCCATGTCCAGATTTTTATTCTTTTTTGTTGTTGTTGTTGTTTTGTTTTTGTTTTTTGTTTTGTTTTTTTTTTGAAGTACTGCTGCCAATAAGAACTGCCAAACAACGGGGGAGGGGGAGATAAAGTAAATTCAAATGAACACAGAATTGTTTGCGCCAGCATTTTATTCTTAATTGTACTCAAATTTTATGCATCCATTTAACTATGTTCAAGAAAATATTTTTTTAAATTATGAACTAACTAGCTTGTAACCCAGGTAAACAAGGAGAAGGGGTCACAAACAAATGATTATTCCTAGTCCTCAGATTATTTGTAGTATCACACTTTGCTGGGATGATGTCCTATAAATTGAGTCCAAAGTGTAAAGGAAATTCCTACTTTTTAGACAAGTCTCCTACCAAAGAAACCAGATCTCTCTGAAATCGTGTAAGATTGTTTAATTTACTGCCAGCCAGTAAACCTAGCCTCTACAGCAGACTGGGCAAAGTTCCCTTAAACTGTGGAGACCACAAAATTGGCCAAGTTACTCTTTTAATGGTGAAAACAGAAATTGTTATCTATAAAGAGTACTTCTTTCGGACTGTTAACCCTGACTATGTTTAGTTTGCCCAGAGAGGAAATGTTACAAAAATAAATTTAAGACTAGAAATGCGACCTTGGGGCTGGAAGGAAGGCAGTGAAAAGTAGATAGGGGAGTGATGCACCCTTTAATCAAGTGATTCCAGCCTTTCCTGGGCAATTTTTAAAGGGAAGAGTGGGAACACTGGAGATCTTCAAAGTTAGGCGGACGAGCACACCGAGGGAGCTGGGGGAGGGGCTAGTTTCTTCTGCAGAGAGGGGAACCACACTTCCCACAAACCCTACACCAAAACAGCACCGTCTCTAACACAGAACTAGAAACTCGCCAACTTCTCCTCACCTGAGGAAAGAAGGGTCTTCAGTCAACCTCTAAGTTGGGCCAGCGGCGACGCTAAAACGCAGGAGAACCTGGATTTGCATACACTTAGGTCCGGGGTGGGGGAAACTTGTAAGAACGGACAGACGGGCCCTCCTCCGTCGGAGCAACTGAGGTCTGTCCGCCTTTCGTTCCGCTGCTCCCAGCACCTGCTGTGAAAGGGTATTGTGGGTCAAAGGGTTCCAAAAGATCTTCCTGGGAAAATATTTAATCTCACCATTGCCATTTTAAATTCATTTTTAAGGGTTTATTTTTAATGTTTTTTTGATGACTGACGCAAGTTTAAATGTAACTTTTATTTTTTTCTTCTGTCAACTAGAAAAATACATTACTTTTGTAATGGTTCCATACATCGTCCAATTTCTAACCAAAGTTGAAAATTTCAACTTTCTTTCAACGTTTGGGAAGTTATGGTTCTTTCCCCCTCCCCCTTTTTCATGTTGTTAAATACCACAATGTTCTCTTGTCCTGTTATTACTCCAGTCAAACTTATGAGTTGCCTGCTGCACAATAATGGGATTAATTGTATTATGAAACCTCTATTTTAATCAAATGTATGATTCCTCAAGAATATGGATCTCATAATTGGAAAACTACTATAAAACAAGTGCAAGGCAGAACCGAAATGAAATGGATAGTATTTGGATTAGCTTGGCTACACCTGTATCACTAAGAAACCTATACAATGTGGATGTCAAAAGCAAAACAAAAAGATGAAATTTACATGTCTACTTATTCATTTACCAATGGAATTTTTCAAGATGGCAAGATAAAACATATTTTAAAACTAGATTAAAATATCATTTTATAATCACTTGACATACAAAGTGCTTTTAAAACAAATGGCAGAATTTTGCATTGTTTTACAAAACAAATACTTCCATACAGAGGTTTTTTTCTGACACTTCAGTTTTCTCTCGATAAAATAAAAACATGATTATATCACATAGTCTGTTTTGAGAATAAAGTGGGGCAATGTGTGAAGGTTAGTAATATGCCTGAGACACAAAAAGTCAACTACTATATAGTAAGGGAATGTTTAAAATAAAATAAACTCTCGTCAATTTTATTGCCAAACCCAGTACCACACAAATAGTGATGCCATTAATTGGTACATATAATACACCTAGAAATAAGCAGCCACTTTGTTGATGCACTATCCAGGGCTCAGAAAAATTCGTAAACCACGAATGATACATAATTTTCAATGCTCCTGAGTTTTTTTTTCAATAAATGTAAAGATTGTCATAATCAATGGGTTTTCAGCACAAAATTCCACTAACAAAACTAGGCACTGCTAGGTGTGGTGGCCTACGCCTTTAATCCTTGCACTCTGGAGGCAGAGGCAGGCAGATCTCTGTGAATTCCAGGCCAGCTATTTCTACAAGCTCCAGGCTACCTAGCAAGACCTTGGATAGATAGATAGATAGATAGATAGATAGATAGATAGATAGATAGAT